GAGGGTGGCGTTCTAGATTCGGTAACGTAGAAAATAAGGCATGAAGAAGATGTTGGTGGTCACATTCTTGAAGGTTGTCTGACGGTGGTTGTTGGGGAAACGACGACGGTGGCTAACGGTGGTGATGAAGGCGGCTGGTGATGGTGTATCAGCAATTTTCATCTTCCTGCAAGTGGTGGTGCATCGGTGTATATGAAAATGAAAGAATATGGAGTTACAGACTTTAACAGAGAGAGAGAGAGTATTTTATTTTTCTTTTATTTTTAATTGTTGTAATAAAAGAAAAATGAAAAATTAAATAATAAGGGGAAAAATCGTCTTTATAAAAAAGTGCAAACAATATCGGACCAAACTCGCAACAAAATCAAAAGTTTAGACCTTTGGTGTTATTCCAAACTTTTTTTTGGACCAAAGTGACAATTTTCAACTAACCATAAGGATCATTCGTGCAGTTTTGTCTAAATAAAATCAAAAGTCTTTCTAAATCGGTTCCATTCCATCCATCTCTACTGTATTATTTTTCTTTTAGCAACTAATGTTACACTGTTAATTTGTTTTGCAGCCGCCTCCTTTCAAACTTTTGTTTTTATAATTTACAACTAAATTTAAGTTTTTTTTTTTTTTTTATTTATTTATTTATTTATAAATTTGGTTAAAAAAACATTTTATAATTACCTTATAGTTATAACTTTGGTCTATTTTAATGGAATTTATAGATTGTGATATAAATATGTTTAAAATCTTTCGTTAACTTCTTTTAGAAAATTACTTTTTTTTTTTTAAGTAAGGGGGTGTTTGGATATGGAAAAAAATAGATTGTTTATTGCTTATTGCTTAATCCCACCGCAATAAGCAAATTTAAGTGTTTGGATAGGAGTCTTTAAAAATCAGCTTATTGCGGTAGGAATAAGCTAAACAAGCTGATTTTAATAAGCAATGGAAATGCTTATTGCTTATTGGTCATTTTACTCATATAAGCTGTTTTGTTTGTCAAACACTTAAAATGCTTATTGTTTATTGTTTATTCCCACCGCAATAAGCTAATCCAAACATGTTTTTAAAAAAATATTTATTCCCACCACAATAAGCAAATAAGCAATAAGCTAATAAGCTAAAAACTATTTATCCAAACACCCCCTAAGTCTTTTTAAAACAAAAATTAAAACTTTTTTTTATTTTTTTTTCAAATCTAAATTACATAACTTATTTTACATGTTCTTTTATACGTTTGTTTATAAAAAATTTATATACTTTTTTATAGACTTTAAACATTTTTTTTTTCTTTTTTACAAATTAAAACACTATTTCTATTTAAAAAAAATTAAAACACAAAATTTAATCAACTCTTGATTTGTTTATATTTGTTTTTTTTTTCTTTTTAGTATGCAATATAACATCTAATTTATTGTTTGTGTTTAACATAACTTTTTTGAACGGCTATATAAGTGATAGACAATCAAAAAGATTATGATTAATAGAATAAGGTCTCGTTTGATAGTTATTGATTGACAAAGTGATGACTGAGAAATGTTTGTCTGTCTGGGTAAGAAATCCTGACCGAATAATAAATCATTTTGTTTTGATTGCATATCTGACTGAATGTGCTGGTTGATCAAAAATGACCATTTTACTCTGCTCCTTGATTATACATCCGATCAGACACAAACACTTGATTTCAAATCAAACACATATAAAAAAATGCAATAGAGCAACAAAAGTCCAACATACATAATATATACTTATCAATAATATATATCAACAATATTATTCTTATTCACAAGATACAAGTGCAGATTTCAAAAAAGAAAGATGATATACCCTTCATTAAGCTAAACCTATTAACATATATATTGAACCTAAATTACCCAAAATGCCCTTCCACTACCGAAGATTTCCCAACAATATTTATCTCAATTTAATTAACTATTTTTCCATTTCTACCCCTAACAAACACACTAGGATGAAGTGAATGGGTAGCAATAGAACTAATCAACCAAATAAAGCAAAATAATATTATGAGTGAACTACAAGTCTAAAAAAAGAAAAACATTTTATTTAACATAAAAATGAATGAACTAGTCTAGATCAACTAATTCCTATGGAGCAAAAATGAGTTTAAAAACAATTTTATATAGACAATGTTCACCAATAGAGGCAATTTGTGATGGAAACTCATATCCATCGAATCAAAGAATTAATTTCAAGAATCGATTTAAAGGAAGAATGTGAAGACGAGATGGAGAACCTATGATTGAAGGAGATGGTTCGATATCAATCAATTTCAAAAATGATTTCATGAATCAAATAAAGAAGAAGAATGGAGGCGATAATCCCCGATAGGAAGAAGCATAGTGCAGAGGCATTAAATCGGTTTCATGATGAAAATAAGAGAAGGCATACCTAATGAGAAGAGGAGAATGAGTCGATCAGTGGGGGCATAGGCATGAAAAAAGGAACGTAGGGAAGGACACAATAGGAAACGTTTCTCCCTTTATATGTAAGCCCGTTGTTTTATTCTTACCGAGCGAGACCTTTCTTTCCATGGAAAATTTTGATTTACCAAACAACTTTAACTGACCGAGTCAGCCAAAAAATCCAGACCCGACTCGGTCAAACGCATATCAAACAGGGCCTAATAGTAAATGAATATAATAGACAAACAACAAATATAGTAGGGTCATGGTGTAAAGAAACAACAAGTTAGACTGCATTTTTCTCATAGAATGAATAAAACAGGCTAATAGTAAATAGCTTATGACTCCGTGAGTTTGGAGTATTTAGATCGAATTATGTTTTTCTTTGGGTCCCGGACAAATGGCGAAGTTGGATTCGTGCATGCTTGGTCTCTTCTAGATCTTTGGTTATTTTAAATGGTGCCACTACTGATGAGTTCAGTTGGCTAGAGGGCTTAGACAAGGTGATCCATTGTCTCCTTTCTTGTTTATTATAGCAATGGAAGGTTTGCATGTTATTGTGGAAGATGTTGTATCGGATGGTATTTTCAGAGCTGTGAAAGTAGGGTTGATGGGGTTGTAGGTTTCTCATTTATTCTATGCATATGATGCTCTCTTTTTGGGGGAGTGGGACGAGGAAAATATAAAAAGTCTTATTCGCATTATAAAATGTTTTTATATGATGTCTGGGCTCTATTCAAATCTGGTTGAATCTAATTTGTTAGGAGTTGGGGTGAAGTTTCATGAATGCCAAGTTTTATCCACGGGATGTAATGCAACTACTTTTCCTTTTAAATACCTTGGGGTTCCTATTGATGAAAATATGAATCGTATTTCTACATGGAGGGAGATAGTTGATAGATTTTTAAAAAGATTGTCTAATTGGAAAGTTAAAATGCTTTTGTATGGGGGTTGTTTAACTCTCATAAAATATGTTTTGGGAAGCTGAAGGATATACTACATGTATTTGTTAAAGATGCCTATAAAAGTGTGTAGCATGTTGAAGTCTATTCGAGCCAAGTTTTTTTGGGGGGCTAATGTGCAGGAACGTAAAATTAGTTGGGTAAAGTGGGATTTAATTTTAAACTGTAAAGAGAAGGACATGCTTGGGGCAGGAAGTTTGGTTGCCCTTAACAATGCTTTGATTTACAAATGGAAGTGGCGATATTGTACTAATACTAATGCTCTTTGGACGATGGTTATAAAGGCGTGTAATGACAAACAATTTGGTTTGAAAGGGTGAGAAGGCTGATCGACAAGGGTTTGGAATAATATTATTTCTTTAATTAGTAAATTACATTCCACAGGTAAAGTTGATGAAGGTAATATGAGACGAAGATTGGGTGATGGTTGTCTTATTCAGTTTTGACGGGATAAGTGGCGGGATCAACTAAGATTTAAGATGAAGTATGATCTGTGGCGAATCTAAGATTCAAACTCACGTGTGTCCCATTATAAAATAAATGAGTCAAAATTTTTGGTTATGAGTCGGTTTGTCGATATACTTTGATCAAGGTGTTTGTTATTCATCGTTGGTATCATGATCATACCATAAAGAGCTTCTTTCACCTTTTTATGTAAATTTTTAGCATTATGCCAAAAATAATAAAATAAATCATTACAAATCTATATAAATCATCAAAAACAAATACATATACACTATCACTATATATCTATAATATAAATAAAGCATCTAAACAAATAATATATATAAAAAATACTTTAAAAAATATAATAAAATAATAATCATAATTGTTCATTTTACCTAACAAGAAGAGTGCCTTTTTTTGTTTCATTTAAGCTTTATTACGTTATACATATCCGAAGTATTATTTAGTACAATTTTAGTGAAGTAAATTAAATTAATAATTGCGACTGTTCATTATAGAAAACAATAAGAGAGACATATGATGCCTAACATATGATCACAAAAGCAATGATAGGTTTAGACTATGACTTTTCTAGTTTGTAGGTAGACTATGTTTTTTTTTTCTTTAGTTGCTTTTAGGGATGTAAACGAGCCGAGTCGAGCCCGAGCCTGACCAAGCTCGAGCTCGGCTCGTTTAATTTTGAGGAAGCTCGCGCTCGATTCAAGCCTTAAAATGAAGTTCGGGCTCGGCTCGTGAACAATTCAGTGGGCTTGCGAGCCTAATCGAGTCTAAACAAGCCTCCATGGATATGTATATATATATATATATATATATATATATATATATATATATATATATAGAGAGAGAGAGAGAGGGGTTCGTTTAAGCTCGTTTAGGCTCGCGAGCCCACTAACTGAAGCTCGGCTCGAGCTCGTTTAATAAACGAGCCTCATATTTAGGCTCGAGCTCAGCTCAGGCTCGTTTAATTCGATCTCGATTCGAGCTTTTAACGAGTCAATCCTGAGTAGCTCACGAGTAGCTCGGCTCACTTACACCCCTTGTTGCTTTACAGTCCATATCGACCATATCGACTACTACAAGAAATTTAACCTTAAGTCCTAAAAGAAAGAAAAGAAAGACTTACCCAAATAAAAATTGATTAGAGGAGAAGCAACGCATGTTTCTGGTTGCAGTGCCGGCGATAAATGGTACGGTCCGGTCGGATGAAGGCGGGGATGGTATCCGGTACGAGTGGTGAAGAGCATGTGAGAGATGACCAGTAGTCTAAAACTATGACCCCAAGGCATGTTGAAGACAACATGCGGTCATCGGAAATTGAGACAGTTGGAGTCGTTATTGTCGGCGACACCAAAAAATCAGTGGCGGCCTGAAGGGGCCAATTCTGTTTTTGGAAGACAAAGGGCACTCGAAAATCATAATTTTCTAGGTTTTTGTTTTTCCACTTTACTAATTTCTACCCTTTACAGTTTATAAATCGATCTGAGCTTGCAATATTCTTTCTTATTATATATTTGAAAAATATTTTTATTACTTAACAAATCCTAAATTTCTGCTATTAGAATTTCTTTTGTAAGTTTTAAAGATTAATAAGAAATTGCGATTGACAAATGTGATAAATCAAATCAAAATATTGTATTATTTATTCTTTTGTGTTATTGTATCCAAGGGTGTCCGGACTTTTTCCCAACAGGTGTCCCATGGAATTTACGTTATATCTTGTAAATAAAATTTGAGATTTAGGGGTGTCCATGGACACCCTTTATAACACTGTACACTCGCCCCTGCAGTATGATAGACTTTAATGCTTTATCTTTGAATAAAGGAGTGGTGAAAGATTTTTGGATAGACACAGGGTGGAGTTTTGAATGGCGTCGTGAGGTTTGCGCAGGTGCTAAGTTGGATCAGCTTCAAGATTTGCAAGTGGAGATACATCAAATTCATTTAAATTCGAATAAGGATTCGTGGGGCTGGCATCTCGATGGTGAGGTGGAGTATTTTGTAGCTTCTCGTAGAGAAGCTTTGGATGTGGGGCTTTACCAATTATGCCGGTGAGTATGATATGGAATAAACATGTTCCTATAAAAGTCAATATTTTGATTTGGAGAATATCAATGGATAGATTGCCCACAAGGGTAAATTTGTCGCACAAAGGAATTAACATACCTTCTATTAGGTGTTTGATGTGCGATGATCAGTTGGAACATAATGATCATGTTTTTTTCAATGTGATATTGCTAAACAGGTTTGAAATCGGATTCTTATGGTGCTGGGACTCCCAAACTTTGATTTCAATACCATTTTGTAAGCTCAAGAATGGATTCAATGCCTGCATGTAAGACAAGATAAGAACGAAGTGGTGTGTACGGTGTTAATGACAGGATTGTGGATTATTTGGTGCTTTAGAAATGACTTAGTCTTTCAGAATAAGAATGGGAAGGATATATCATTTGATTCCATTGTTTTGTTTCTTTTAATATGTTTACTTTTAAAAACAAAAAAGATGTTAGAGATTAAAACTTGTGACTCCATATGATTTTGTAATTTTGTTGTCTTAGGCTAGTTTCTTGTGCTAGTCTCTAATGCCTTGTTCCCAAGTTTAACAAAAGAAAAGAAGAAAAGAGAAAAAAAAATCACGAGAAAAAAATAGAAAAGAAGCAAAAACAAAAAAAAAAAATTGTGTTCCCGAATTGGAAAGAAGTGGAATGAAAATGAATCATTTTATTCTTTCTTTTCAAATCCTCCCAAATCGGAAGAAAAATTATGAGTGAAAATGATTCATTTCTTTCCACTTCTTTACTTTAACGAAACACGAAAACACAAATCTTTTTTTATTTTCTTCAAATTTCCAATCAGTTAAAGTAGGGAGGGAACGGGGTGTAACGCTTGTTTCTTTTATAGGCTGCAGTTCTAAAAAAAAATAGTAGTAAATAGTTTGTGATACAGGTTTCAAACACCCAACCCTAAAACGCATCCTCTGTAATACGACGCCACCTCTCCATCGACGCAACTTCTTCTACCCTCTCCATCACCGGTCTCCGGCGCTTCTCCTTCCTTCGCCGGAATTGCTGTCCCATCGAAGTCTTCATTCTGCCTTCTTCAGATTTTCCTTCTCTATCACCAGGTTTGTTTTGTTTTCCCTGAAATCTAATTTTTTGGAGTCTCATGAAAAAAAATTCTAGATAGATTCTTTAGTTGATGATATTATACACGATAGCTTCGTTATTTCCTGAAATTGATTTTTGTGAAGCTGATTGTTGCTTCTGATTTTTGTTAATGGGATGTTTGTGGAGTCCGATATACATTTTGGTTCTAATTTTGTTATTTATGATTTTGTGAAATTGAGTTTATGATTTATGTTAACCTGATTTATTCCTTGCTAAATGATACCAAAAGATGATATCTTTGTTGTTATTTATGATATGTAGATTGTGTCACAGAAGAAGCAAATCTCAAATGGACAAAAGTATGCTCGGAGATCTGGGGAATCTTCCAGCGGAGGATCAGGCTCGAATGGCCACCATGATCGACCAGCTTCAAATCCGTGACAGGTTCATTGCTCTATAAACTTTATCTGCTGATTCATTCATGTATCATAGTATCATACATATGGTATGTTACTCCTCTGATCCCCAATATTGCTTCAGATTTTCGTTTCTGTTTCCTCTTATGCTTTTTGATATAGATATGCACATCAACTTTGAAATTGAAATTAGATGTTTCTGGATTGCAGTTTGAGAATGTATAACACGCTTGTGGAGAGATGCTTTACAGATTGTGTGGATACATTCAGACGCAAAACATTAGATAAGCAAGAGGAGACATGTGTGAGGAGATGTGCTGAGAAGTTCTTGAAGCATTCCATGCGTGTTGGATTGAGATTTGCAGAACTCAACCAAGGTGCAGCTACACCAGATTAATCCTCCATAGCATCTATGGACCTCACTTTTGTAGTCTAATAGAGTTGCTTTAGTCTTTCAAGTAAAAACACCATAAACATATAGACTGAGTTTCATAAAACTTCTTTCCATTAACGATTGCTTTTCTCTATGCTAATGCTATTGATTTTCTTGTGCCCTTCTTCTATCTGTATATTTCACCCTTAGCGTTTGAACCTGTTTTAATGGTCCAAAAACTATCATGTAATAAACGTACATTTATCTAAACCCCTTTAAAAGGCTTGTAAATGGGTACACTTTTTACATCAGTTTCTTGAATTGTCTTTGGTCTTCACTTAAGTTTTGAGAACTGGGCTTTTCACAAAATTATTCAACCTCAAAAGTAATGAGATCGATTCAGTTTAGCTGAGTAAACTAAGATTAAGTTTCATATCAGGTACTTTTATCGTTAAACCTATAAACACTTAAGGATACGAGGTCCAAGCAAACCACATAGTACTAGAGTTTTCAAATAAGTGATGAATTTATATGAAACCCTAGCAACGTGATCATGAAGTGAGTAAGCATCAGAAATTTCAAACCAACAAAATTAATTATCCAATGTCCAGTATGTAAGGATTTAGGAAGTAGGAACACATACATTAATGTAAAAACAAATAAAATTCTAGCCCACTGTTCGTTGAGCGAGAATGCAGTTATTGCATGGTCATACAATCCAATGTTGATTATTGTTTTGTGCTTTGAACGACTATGCCAAACAATTTGCATAATCATGTATGTATGACTTTTGATTTTTTTTAATCTTCATTGTTCTTTAAAGGCCTAATGCCATAGAAGCCTTTAAGTTTGGCACCATTTTGTGTATTTGTGGCTCATTAAAGCTAGAAGTTTGCAACCTTTTATTATTATTATTATTATTATTTTCAATCTTACCTTTTTGCATATTTCTAGGTCCATTGAAGCCCTTAAATTTAACATAAATGTTTGTTTTTATCGGGTAAAACTGCAAAAGGATAAAATTTGAAAAAAAAAAAAAAAAGTTGCTAACATTTGGCTTTAATAAAACAGAAGTAGGCAAAAGTCAAAAGGGTGAAACACAACATTCATGCCAAACTTAAAAGAACTTTTATTACTTTCAACACTACACAACCCAAATATTTATTAAAAAACTACTTTCTCTATCTTCCACATAACTAATCATGAATTTTTATCCATATTAGCAACCCAACCCAACCCAATCCTTTATTTTATTTTTAAAAAATTATCAAAAAATATATCAACATTTTATGTATTTTAATATATTTTATTTATTTTTTAAAATAATATCACGTCTATTTTTTTATAATATAAATGAAATATAAAAAAGAAAAATGAGAAAGAAAGGTGGTGAACTATGGTGAGCTAGGTTGTGGGGGTAATCCGCTCACACTATTTCTTTTCTTTTTAATTTTTATTTTTTATTTTTTTGGGTGAGCCATGGTGAGCTGCTCACCAATGGGGATAGTCTTATTTCATTAAGCCTTCTTCTTTAAAGCGCAATCTTATTTATTTATTCTCTCACCAGTTTTTCAAATTTTTCATCTATTTTCCTATATAATGTTTCCAAGCCCAGAACCCATCTACATGAATCCCGTGATCTTACAAAACTAAAGATTAAGAGAACAGTGTAATGAATATATATTATGTATATCTCTGTGTGTGTTCGTAACAAGGAGTACACCCAACGTATATAAAGACTAAACTACAACTGATTCCTAAATACAAGCAGAAGTCTAGGAACAAGAGTTGACTAAGACTATTTATGTAAAACGTGTTTGATAAATCTTTAGTGCTCGTTATTACCCCCTACAAGGTGAAATGCGGGTCGAATTTGCAGTTTGTTTCGTAATATTCCCAATCTATCCTATTGCAAAGGTTTTATGAAGATGTCCGCTAATTGATCAACCGAAGAAACTGAACTGATAGACAGATCGTTGGATTCCACTTGTTCTCGGATGAAGTGAAAGTCCAAGGCTATGTGTTTTGAGCGCGTGTGGATTACTGGATTCTTTGTCATAAATATGGCTCCAACATTATCACACAGTAGAAGTGGAGGACGTAAGAGAGGAGAATGGAGGTCGATTAATAGTTGGTTAATCCAAATAAGTTCAACTGCTGTGTAGGCAAGGGATCGGTATTCCGCCTCTGTGCTAGATCCAGCAACCACCCTCTATTTCCGTGATGTACAACTAATAAGATTGAAACCATAAAAAATAGCATAGCCGTATTGAAAGCGGCTGTCATCTTTGTCTGAAATCCACCCGACATCTGAAAAAGAAAGGAGACAAGCGCGACGAGAAGGTGTAAAATGTAAGCATTGATGAGCGGTTCCTTTGAGATACCACAAGATTCGTTTGATGGCTTTCCAATGAAGGGTGGTAGGAGAGTGCATGTGTTGACACACACGATTGACGACATAGGAGATATCTGGCCTCGTAATAGTAGCATATTGCAAGGAACCAACCACTTTTCTATATTGTTTTGGGTCATGAAACAAGTCACCGGCTAGAACAAGACGAGATTGGTTGTCAGCTGGAGTTGAGATTGGGTTGGAGTCTTCCATTTTGGTGCGGTGAAGGAGGTCTTTAATGTAACCTTCTTGAGAAATCATAAGACCAGTAGCAGTTTGTTGAATTTGGATTCCAAGAAAATAGTGAAGCTGACCCATGTCTTTGAGAGCAAAGATTTTGTTAAGGCGATTAATGAAGTTCTGAATAAGACATGTTGTTGTGCCAGTGATGATGAGGTCGTCAACATATACCAGAATGTAGATAGTTGCTGTGGGGGAGTGATGAACAAACAAGGAATTATCAAACTGGCATGCCCGGAACCCTTGGGTGATGTAACACTCTAAAAATTTCAACCAATTTAAACTTTTCAAAAACAACCCAATTTCATTAATTCATTACAAAAAGGTTTTCAATACATTTATTATCAGAGTATTCCCAGAACCATATCGTAAAACATGACCATGAGGAGCGGTACGATCACGCCTTTGCCTTGCCACAATCTCCTGAAGTACCTGAAACATTAAACCACAACTGTAAGCCCGAAAGCTTAGTGAGATACCCTCAAAATACCAACCACATATACCATACAAATATCATATCATATCATAAACAGAACAACCATGCACTTTGGGTCTACTGTGTAACTGGTCCGCCGCACCAGGCCTTCAGTCCACCTGGTCCACCCTCCGAGTCTAGCCATATACATCGAGTCTGCAGTGTTCTTCCTGGCGCATCCTTTAGCGAGCTGTTAGGGATGGTATAGCATCTCATAGCGAACCTTTTGGCAAGAGGGGTGGCGAGATCACTCCCTCAAGCCTAAGCAAAAATTAACAACTACATATCGTAATATGTATCTGAAATATAAAAAAATAAGAAGTTATGAAATATTTAAATAAAAAATATTTGATATGAATTTAATTAGCGTCATTAGTAACTTATAAACTAAATTTATTATTACAAATAAGCATATTATTAAAACCCTCCGCTATAGAGTATAGATATTAGAGGTATATGGCTCAAAATATTGCTATTTAAATTATATACATATTGTTGTTTGAAATGGTTGACATTAGAGCTACAAGTGTGGATTTTGGGATACCATTCTTGGATATCAAGAAAATAGTAATAATTAAATACAAAACATAACACAGGAGATTAAGTTTCTGTACGGTGAATCAAATTAATGAATTTGAGATAAATCAGGTCATCAAGAAGTGCAACATGGTTGAAATTTTATCTGCTTTGAATGTCTCAATGGAAACACGCCTGAGTGACAGTCACTTTCACATGTTGCCTAAACTATCTGTTCTTTGGCTTCCTTCAACGTTTAAGACAAACATAAATTAAGACCTCAAAACACGACGCACACATTGATTCGTTTTTCACCATTGAATTGAAGTTGTTCTTTTTCATGATCATGATTAACCTTTGAATTCATATTGTATTTGTTCATGTGTGTATGTTTGTATGATACACCCTTTCTTTTTGAATTGGGAAACTTTTAGTAGAATTTGTTCAAATTAACTTATAATTTAGTTTTAATACCTTATGGTTAAGTCCACTTTAGGTTTAGGTTTTTCTTGGTGATTGGTTTATGGATTATTTGATTATTTCAATTGGGTAAATTTTTTAATGAGGAACATGGATGGTGAGCAATCAATATTTTCAACTTATGGTTATTTGATAACCACTCAATAATTATGTTCATCAATGATTTTCATCTTGACAACCTTCTTTTTTTAAAGAATATGTAAAAACTGTCGCATGATAATTATAATCACAAATAGTCATATAACTAAATTGAGTTGTCAATTTCCAAAAGTTAAAAGGGAAATATGATCACAAGTTGAAAATTATGATAACCAAACCAATTACACCTTACAAACACCTTCTGTAAACCAAAAGATTCTTATATCGATCCCAAATCTTTCCTATCCTTGATCGAGAACGAAAACAACATATTATGCTTATAAATCTCACCGGGATTCACAATCTGCGACGGAAAATTCCGGTGGTTAACAGCATCTGGAAATCCTTGTGTCTCCAAACACAATCCGGCGTGCGCTTCATACACATACCCCCCTTTTCCCTTCACATCTTTTACATAATTCCCAGTATAAAACTGCACCCCCGGCGCATCCGTTGTCAATTTCATCGACCTACCAGACTTATCATCCCACACGACGGCGACGACGTTCATCTTCTTCCCCTTTTCTCCATCCAGCACGTAATTGATGTCATAGCCGTCGGGAAGTCCCCCGATTTTGCTTTTTATCGTGTATGGTTTGAGGAAATCGTAGGGCGTACCTTTGACAGAGACAATTTTTCCGGTGGGGATGAGTTCGTCGTCTGTCGGCGTGATATGAGACCCGAAGATTTTGATTTTTTGCGATAATACATCGCCGCTGTTGTGGCCTCCGAGATTCCAGTATGTGTGTTGTGCTAAATTCACCGGCGTTGCTTTGTTTAGGGATTTTGCTTCCATTTTTACGCGGAGTTTGTAGTTGCCGACGAGTGAATAGGTCACCATTACTTTGAGATCTCCGGGGAACCCTGATTCAGGTGAGAAATTGAATCGAATCAGATTGAATTAAGTTAATGTGAATTGTGATTAATGGAGGAAGAAATGAATAAAGAGATTTGACCTTGTTCGCCATCAAAACTGTGGTATGTGAAGGTGATACAAGGCGATTCACAGTCTTTTTCATATTTTTTGACCTTCCAAACAACGTCGCTAAACCCGG